TGATGACTTGTATCTCTCTCCGAAATCTGATCCTGGGGCGCCCCTCCTTGGAACAGCTGGCCCAGGAGGTGACCTATGCAAACCTGCGGCCCTTTGAGTCACCAGCAGAATCTACTCCTTCAAAGCCTGATGCCTTTGATACTAATGCTGATCCTACCGAGTCGAGCCGCACGCCCCTACGCTCAGAGCTCTGAGCTGTCAAGGCCCCTGGGTTTTGATGAGGACCAATCACAGAACAATTTACATGCTCAAGAGAAATTTGTAAAGGATAATTTTTCCAAGTCATTTTTTTTAAGTCCTCTTGCCCATGCCTCTTTATTCAAATTAGATAGTACGGATGGTAATGCAGACGAGTCCAGGCAGCCCCTGAGAAGGAGGGTTCTAGTAGTTTGGCGAATAGACTAAATATGTTACTGATTATTTTTCTCCTGTTCTGCTTCATAGCACAGGTTCAGAAAGCTTTGTTTTGTTAGGCAGTTGGGGTTAAGTGACTTGCCCAGGGTCACACAGCTAATAAGTCTTATGCGTCTGAGGCTGGATTTAAACTCAGGTCCTCCTGACTCCAGGGCCAGTGCTCTATCCACTGCGCCACCTAGCTGCCCCTAGAAAGCAGCAGTGTCACGACAGCTCTGTTGGCAGTTGGAGCCAATCTCCAACTCGCTAAACTCACCGATCTCTGTCTAGTGTTTTCCCAGGGGTCCCTGGCTGGCTCCAGAGAGGCCTGACCCTGACCCAGTCAGTGACATCAAAACGGCTGAAGCCTGTCTTCTCTAGTGCCCAGTAGAAGAGCCTTATCCCAATTGCAGGAAGTAACTTTTCAATGTCCTTACTAATTTTAGAGTTTATCCTGCAGGCTGACATTCTTCCCCATACCAACCAGATAATCTGGAGAAAGGGGAGGTTTTAAAAGTCCTAGATCAGCACCCCACTTTTTGCATTAATTGGTCTCTTTATGTTGGGGAAGTGAGGATGAGAAGCTGTATCATAAAGGTCCCTATACCACATCCTAACTTTAAACCAGTAATTTGGCTTCATCACATCACCCATACACACGTGTGTGTGTGTGTGTGTGTGTGTGTGTGTGTGTGTGTGTGTGTCACACGAAGGTCATCTGGTGCATTTTAGCTCCCAATTTTAAGTGAACAGGAATTTATAAGCACCTGTCTCCCTACCAGTATGTCTGTTGCGCACGGGGGATACAAAGCCAAAAACCCTGTCCTATCCCTTAAGAAATTTAGGTTCTGTCCGGGGGAAGTGTACAGAATGGACAAAGAAAATTAGAGTGGACATCAGTCCTCCCTTCTTTGCACAACATTTTGGGATTCACTGCAGCCAAGCCCAGCAGGAGCCTTATTGCCTTCCTCTCTTAAAGGCACCTGAATTGTTTAGTTGAGCTTGGAGGAAAGAGGCCAGCAGTGAATATTTGCTAGAAAGCAGTTAAAATACCCAGCACTTGGGAGGACTGGAAATAAAGTTGTGCTTCCCAGTAATCTGAACCACTGCCTCTCCATAGCTTTTGCTTGTGGATTGGATAAGGCCCTGACAGGCATTGTTTCTCTATCTAGAGGCAGCTAGGAGATGCATTGGGTAGAGTTGGATTTGGAGTCAAGAAGTGCCAAGTTCAAAGCCAGCTTGGAGCCTTGCTAGCAGTGGGATTGGGCAAGTTACAACTGCCATCTGCCAGTGTCCTCAGCTGAAAAATACGGGGAAAAACCCACATGCTGGAGTGGTGAGGATATTTTGTGAAGCACAGAGCCTGGCACATAGTAAGCACTATATAAATTTGGCTATTTCCTCTCACTTTCCCCAGGAATGTAGTGCCCCAACCAGTGTTATCAACACTAGGATTTTTCAGAGAACTCTCAGCAGTCTGGCACTCGCTGTCCACTGCAACATCCCTGCTCCATCAGGAACATTGAAGTCTTTTGTAAGAGCCTGAACCTTTTTGCCCTTAACAAAAAGTTGACCTGTGGTCTAAAACACGTCTTCCCTAGTATGACAAAGCAGGTGTTAAGGTAAAATTTATGGACAGATAGAACAGCGTCTTTGCCCTTGTCCACTGCTTTAGTTAGAAAAAAATAAAATGTCTGAGGGGCCTGTCACAACAAGGGATAAATCTTGGTCTAAGGAAGGGAGGGAGTGCAGGGGCAGTGCAGAGCGCCAGCTCTACCAGGGTTTCAACAGCAGGTTCAAAGGGAACCAGCTGCAGCTATTGTCTCTGATCGCTGGGCTGCTACAGCCTTCCTTCTCCTGCCCCTCCCCTCCCTAAGCACCTGTGGTTACGTCCTTTTAGGGGCCACTTTCTGCTTCTGTTGGGCCTTGATGAGGTGGAAGAAAATGAAGACTCGGGTAGCTCTTCCTGAGACATCTACTCTTTCCACATTTCAGGGAGTTGCCTTCTACGTTATTGGGGGTTCAATTACTTTAAACTCTCCCCTCCTAATTCTCATATCAATTCAGACCCCAGTGAAGCCCTCAATAACATTGTCAGATCAAATATGCTTTAATGGTCTAACAGTTTGTCATGACCTAGCCCTTCCATACCTCCGTGTTGTAAGGCCAAAGAAGTCTCAATCATGTTGCCTATACTCACTGTATAATGTGCAAGCCTCACCTGTATGTAGCTCCAGGTGCACGGGGTTGTGCCCATCTGTAGTTTCCAATGGACAGACCGATAATCTTCACACACTGGTCACTATGTGATACGTGCTCTCAGGTTTACCAGGTTGACCTCTCCATTATTTATACTTAAGGCCCAACTAACTATCCGTTATAATAAAAGTTTAACCCTAGCATCTCTTTCTAAAGGGGTAGAGACAAGGACAAGTTCTTTTTAGCTATGTGGAACTGTTTCACAAGGACAGAAACTGCTATATTCAGATCTCAAGTACCTTAATCAGTACACTAGGTGAATTTTAGTGATCTCTCTATCCACTACACCATCCAGCTCCCCCCCCCCCATTTGATTTTGATGGTGAGATCAACACAAATGGCTCACAATTTTCATGCTGCTGTCACGAGACTGGAATTGACCAAAATAGGTTAAGGCCTGATCACATTACATTAAGTTATAGCCACTGGGCCATTCAACCCAGGATAGGGGAAAGACAGTGGCTATATAAAGTGATGGCCACACCCTGCCCTTAATTTTAAGCCTTTCTCCTCCAATCACTGGCACTGATCAAATGCAAAGCCCACTAAATAAAAAGCTTCCAATCTTTACCTTTTGGCCAATTTCCTCTTTAAATAGCCTGAGACGAACCTTGCAATGAGCATGTGTTCACCTTCCAAGGCTCCTTACAATCCAGTCCCTGACTCTAGAGAACCCAGCTCGTCCCATACCTAATAAGCACAGGAACCAGCCACCCACTTCCTTCCCTAGAATTTGCGGCAAGAACTAGTATTAAATGGTTTGTCAGCTTATAGGTAAAGAATCAAGCCGGGCAGCTTGCTGTTGGCTGTAGTCAGGCCAAATGTTGCTTCCAGGCATCAAAGAATGCCCCATCTTCTCAGCAGTGAATGGACACAGTGGTAAGGTAGAACCTAGCATTTTATTTAGATCTTCATTAAACTGTTGGAATTGAGAACCAGACATACGTAATAAACCTCCAAAAAATAGATCCTGAAAGGCACTTTCTGCTTAGGGCAGCAGCCATGGACTAGGCATGTAAACAAGCTGGCTTCTCTGTACCACACCAGCCAAGTCAGCTTCCTCCACGGCCAACTGCTCCAGCTCTGCCCTCCCTTCTGTTAACACCAGCCAGACCCCCTTGTAGGTGTAACCCAAGGTTCTTCTGTAGGACACCTTGGCCTACCTGGGAATGCTGGAAACATGTCAAAGGAATCATGGTGTCAAGGATTTTTTTTTTTAAAAGCTGCCCTCTGAGGTGATAGCTTCTCTGTACTCACGCCACACCCCAGAATACAATAAATAAGCAATTAGAAAATGTTCAAGTATGAAGGGATTTCCTTCTCCTCCCCGCCAAAAGCATTGCTCTCTGAAGGAAGCTGGTTTCTCTGTATCTACACCAGCTGCACAGAAAGCTCATTGGACCTGGTTTTGAAAATAAAACAAAGTTAAAAACCCTGGGAGGAGTTCTTGTGCAGTGTGGAATACTCAGTCTTTCTTATAAAGAAAAAGTTAACCGGTACCAAAGTGTGCAACCTACAGACCCTCAGATTCCGCCCTGTGACTTCTCTGTATGACATCACAAGGCTGCCAAGTGCCCGCTTAACTAGAGCTAGGAGTTGGTGAGGTTTGGCTAGTGCTGAAACCATGCATAGGATTGGTTTACTAAATAAAAACCTTATTACGTACGTCCTCCAAAAGACAGCCGAGTGGAGAGATTTTAAGATTTGGTGCCATTAAGAGATGGTCATTAAGAGCATAAGCACCAGAAGGTGGTTCAACTAGTAACTGCCTTTTTCACGAAGTCAGGCTAGAGCTCCAACTGGAACTTGCGTTACATGCAAGATTGATCTGGTAGGGAACACTCCCTGACAAAAAGCTACATAATTAGAAGTGGGTCAGGTTACAGGGAGGATGGGGGAAGGCTTCACATTCATAATAGAGCTCAAGACATTACAAAATCATGCTGACAGGGCAGTGGCATTGTTGGACAGAGGCTATAAATGGAACTACAAGTACTTGACGTGCACATTACAAGGACATTTTTCAGCATTTGATGGGAGAGTCAATGCAGTTAAGATTTTGGGGCTGGGTGGTGGGACACAGAGGTTCAATCTTAAAGCATCATTTACTAGACAGTGCTGTCTGCTCATCTCTAGGCAGTTACATGGATCACCTATGCTCACTAAATCCATTATAACGGTGAGCAAAACACCAGGGACAGAATAGCAGAGCCCAACTTACAGTCCCCACAAAAACTAAAATCAGATCATTGGACAAGAGTGACTGCAACTGATCAAGAGCTGAAAGAGGACAGGAGAAGTTTAGGGAGAAGGGCCCTTTCCCTCAGAGCTTGAAGGCTTCTCTGTAACCTACGCCAACAAGTCTGGGGAAAAAAGCCTAACACTTTCAATATTTAAGCTTTCTGGGCACTTCCCATGGGAAGCTGTCCCTACCAAAGTGGCCATAGGCTGCAGTCCTCTGATAAATGGGCTTCTTCAGATCCAGATCCCTGGAATATACAAGTCCATAACTTAATATGTAGCATTCAATTAAACAAAAGCAATATAATCAGTAAGACTCATTTTCAAGAGTTCTGGCAAATGAGAAGTTCAGTTCTCTGGGGAAAGCTAGGAAGAAAATGTGGGGAAGAAGGATCACAACCCTGATGTCCAATCTCCTGGCACCTTGTTAAGGACAGGCACTTACTTTCCAGCTTTCAGATTAAAAGTAACTACAAATCTTGTTCCAGTCACTGGCTCAACAGATCTGAAAGCTTGTCATCATCCTGAGAAACTTCAAGGGTCAAAGCTCATTTGAGAATCCGATACTTACCACCCCCCTAAGGTACAGACAGGCACCATCCCAGCGCTCCACTTGGCTGGAAGCATTAATGGTTTTCTGCTCTTTAATTAAGCCTTGTTCCCCCCAAAGGCTGAGGAAGGCAGCTACAAATGCACACAGCAACTCCAACTCAAATCCAGGATTTCTTGGGCTCAATTCAGCCAACCAGGTTCTGCACTGATTTTCATCGGTAACAATTGTGGAAATTAAAAGAGGCAACCTCTAACCTTTAATAGTCTTTTAAACCTATTATGATTGATGACAACTTAGAAAAAGCTATCAGGATGGAAGGGCTGCTTATGTTTTTTCTCATCTGTCTCCATACTTAGATCATAGGTTTTTATGCTTAAACAAGTGTGGAACCACCCCCCCCCCTTTAATTCTGGCTAGTGACATGCATTACCATCTTTACCTGACAATGACCCCAGGGCGGAGGTCAAAGTTCTTCTTCACAATATCCAGGAGCTCTCTCTCACTCTTCTGAGAGGTGCCATAATGGAAAATGGAGATGGACAACGGGTGGGAAACACCAATAGCATAAGACACCTAGAAGCAACAGCAATCAAATCAGTCCTCAGAATTCCGCTTGGCTCAGTAACTGTCACTCATACCACTCTATGAAGAGCCTGATGAGCACGGATTTCTTTAATCCCCATAACGGCTTGATATAGTATCAGGTCTGGAAAAACCTACTCGCAGTTGCAAGAATACATACCTGAACAAGTACCCTGCGACACAGACCACCTTTAACCAGGGATTTTGCCACCCAACGGGCAGCATAAGCAGCTGAACGGTCCACCTTAGTATAATCTTTTCCTGAGAAAGCACCACCTCCATGAGCACCCCAACCACCATAGGTATCCACGATGATCTTCCGTCCGGTCAGACCAGCATCACCCTGCAAGTACAGCTTCTTTTAGATCCCTTGGTTGACAAAGAAAACGTAAAGACCCAAAGACCTCAATCAACTGATAAGAGAGGACAGAACCCATACTGATGAACCCATATCTCTTGTTGGAGAACACACAACTACCAGACAAAATCCTAGAGATGTCTTACCTGAGGTCCACCAATGACAAATCTGCCACTAGGTTGCAGATGGTAAATTGTATCTTCATCCAAGTATTTTGCAGGTACAACAGCTTTGATCACCTTTTCCTTTAGAGCATCCCTCATTTCATCAACACATACATCTTCATCGTGTTGAACAGATATCACAATCGTATGGACCCTTATAGGGAGAACAGCACCACGATCCTGCATATACTGCACAGTGACCTAGGAGAAATAAGACAGACATGAGGAAACAAACATTTCCCACTAGCCTCTATCCAGAGTACTCTGCATATAGCAGACAAATCAAGTAGTAAATCTGAATACACCTAAGACAACACTACTCTCATTTTTCTATTTGGTTGTCAGCTACCTCCTTCCCTTTATATATCTACCTGCAACATTAATTTTAGCAATTTTGCTTTTCATCATTGACTTTACATGGCACCCAGACCATTACTCACTTGAGTTTTGGAATCTGGGCGTAACCAAGGCAAAGTTCCATTGCGCCGCAATTCAGCAAGTTTGGCATTGAGCTTGTGAGCTAACACAATAGTTAAGGGCATGCATTCTTCAGTTTCATCAGTAGCATAACCAAACATCAATCCCTGTGGAAAAAAACCATGAAATTTCAACTGAACTGCTCAAAAATTACACTGCATTTTAAAAAGAAAAAAAACCCCACCACCACAGAAGCAAAATACCTGGTCTCCTGCACCAATATCTTCTTCATTTCGATCTAGATGAACCCCTTGAGCAATGTCTGGTGACTGCTGCTCTAAGGCTACCAAAACATTGCAAGTCTTGTAATCAAACCCTGTAAACAGTTAAATACACATTGAAACTCGGTACACACAGGGGAAAAAAAAGGAAAGCAGTCAAGTGGTCCCCATCCTGTTGAGCCAGTCACTCAATTCAAGAATGTCATTACTATTTTTTTTAATATATGCAGGTGTTGTCCTGATTAATAAAATGCAAACTCATCTAAGACTATTATGTACATATATATAGTAGAATTATTTTAGGGGTTCAGGGGAGGAGGGGAGCACAAGTTCAGAGACTTTTGAGAGTAAATGCCATACCGTAAAAGATTGGGAAACAACAAAAATGGCCTATTTATAACAAAAATAAGCAAAGAAATTCAAAGCTAAAAGGACAAATATCAAAGCTAATTATCAAGGAATGGTTTTAGTGGTTCAAGATATCAACCCATAAAACCCACCTTTGGAAGAATCATCATAGCCTACATGCTTAATTGTTTCCCTAACCACTTTTTGATAGTCAACAGCAGCTCTGGATGTGATTTCACCAGCAAGTAGTATCATTCCAGTCTTAGCAACTGTTTCTAATGTGAAAAAAAAATTCAGACATTAATCTCCAATAAACAAATTCACACTGCAATGTAAGCTTATCAACTGATATGCAGATCACTTACCACAAGCAACTTTGGCATCAGGGTCCTGCTGAAGGTGAGCATCAAGGACTGCATCGCTGATTTGATCACAAATTTTATCTAGAAAAATATAATTCAGACCTTATTAAAACACACAACTTCTTACTACTTTTAATCTTCACTAGGCATTTAATATTAGCAAAAAAGCCCAATAAAATTCGTCACCAGATCTATGATCTATCCAGAAAGCCATTTGCCTGAATTGAAACTGATTCAGTACTCAAAATTTGAAAACCTGACACCAAGATCTGAATATAGCTCTACCTCAAAAGAATATGATCTATTTCTATAACTTTGAAATGCCTTAAAAGGAATACTTTAGATATTCAAATCTTAATCCCACAGCTAATACAGTAACTGATTTCTTCTAGTTCACAGAACTAAACCAAGTTCCTCAGAGTAATTATCACAGAAGTCCAAAACGTGTTTCTTTGGGAGGAGTATGGAGAAGAGGTTATTTTTAAATTTCAGAAACAAAGTGACAGTATCTTCTAAACAGCACAACTAAAAAAGCACACTGTTACTTAAGCTACAAAAACTTCAATGGTTATTTAGTATTAGTTCCTACTAGAGACAATGGCTCTTTGTTTCCATTTTAGCCGCATATTTAAGGACTGCTTTGAAAATATTTAAAAGATAAGTTTTCAACTTCAATTTCTTCCATTTTTTCCCAAGCGTATTAAAAAATGAGAACTATTTTCCTAGTAGCATGTGTTTAAGCTCTGTATCTGTTAAGATCTGATTCTCTAAAGAATTATTTCCATTTCATTAACTGAATTAAATTTGACACGTGCTCTGCCCTGCCACCCTTGCAGCAGCACCTGGGGTACAAGAGTCAGTCCTATCCGTAAGGAGTACCATCTACTTAATCTAGTTTAGCCACTCAACCTCAAGACAGTCTAGGTTGTGCGGTTTACTGGAGTGCTGAAAGGAAGAAAAGGCCAAGTTTAAATCACAACCAAGACTATTTTCCCAATGTGTACAGTTTTTAAAAAACGGGCTGACAGTCATTTTGTAAAGCCTACAGCCCCCTTTCACATGAGGGTTGAGACTACGATCCAGTCCTGTGATGCCCAGAAAGGGAGGGGCCCCAGCTCTAGGCCGGTTCAGGTCAAACTCAGGTGACAGGTAGAGGTGGCACTGACGGCTCACCGGCGGATGGGCGTGCTCGGGGGTCCCAGGGAATTTTCCATGCCCCCCCCCCCCCCCCCCCCGCACACAGAGGCTTAGCCGAGCCTCAAGGACACGTGTCGCGGCCGTCTCTCGGATCCCCGAACAAAAGGGCCCAGGGGCAGCGCCTGCGGCTCTGTGCCGGCTGTCCTTCCGGGACGGGCTTTTGTTCCCCGGGCTCTCCCCCAATCATGGCGCCCTGACAAAGAGGGGCGCGGACCGTCCGGGCACGGCTCGGGGTGTCTCCGCTGGACAGGAGGAGCCTCCTTCCAAAAAAGGGGCGCTCTGCCGGCGGCGCTATATTTAGAGAGACCGCTGTCAGTCCGTCCGTCCGTCCGCCGGGAGGGCCCCCCATGCGCGTTGCACCCCCTCCCCTCCTGCGGCCCGCGGTGCCACACGCGGCGGGCACGTGGTTGCGGCTGCAATGCGGGGCGCGCGCCCCCGCCGGGTGGGCACGCGCCTCCGCCGCGGGCGGGCGTGGGCTCCCGCGCCGCGGGTTCCTGCCGGGCTGAGGCGGGCGGAGAACAGTGGGTCTGGATACCACGCGTACCCTCGCATCCCCACCTCCGCCCTCTTCGGGGTTTCTGGAATTTTCCGGATACCGGGGCGCGCGGCCGGGGCGGGGCTGCGGGGGAGGGGCGCCGGCGGAGTGGGGGAGGGGCGGCCACGCGCTCGCACCGGCAGCCGCGGCGCCCGGCTCTTCCCGCCAGACCCCGGGGGGAGCGCCGATAACGAGGGCCTCCCCCATCCTGACTGGACCCCGCCCGCCCGCCGGGCCCAGGCCCCGGGCCGGGCGCCCGACCCCACTCGTCCCCTCCGACTCACCGGGATGCCCTTCGCCCACAGACTCTGAGGTGAAGAGGAAGGTGCCTTCCTCGATGAAGTTCTCGTCGAAGCCGTTGAGCTGCCCGTTCATGGCTGCGGCAGGGAAAGGGGCGCCGGGCAATGGGAGACAGAGAAGACAGAGGGTGCGCGGAGGGCGGCGAGGACGCGAGCGGGAGACCGAGCTAGCGCAAGCCCGAAAACTTGAACTAGAGTATCCTCTCCGCGGCGCAGGCGAACGAGGCGGCGGGCGGTGCTCCGCCCTATTTATAGTCGCGCTGCGGCTCTAGCTCCTCCTCGGCCTCGCCCCCTTCCGCCGCGCGCCAATGCGTCACCGGGGTAGGGGGCAGGGGAGCGGGGCCGCGGACCGAACCACTCGGCGAAACGGGGGGGAGGGAGATTGTACCGCGCCCTTCCCCGCCTGCTCTTGGGAGCTCTTCTCCCCCGAGGTAAAGCAAGTGACGGACGGCCACTCGACGGCGCGTCTCTGCTCCGAGAGTCCAGGAAGGGAGGCGACGGGAGGGAGAGACCCATCAGCTTCACCGCCGCCTCCCCCCCCATTCTGGAGAGTTGGACTGCGCTGCTGGCGGTTAGCGGAGCCCTCGCTCCTGGCGCCGCCGTGCGTCCTGTTACGTCATGCAGGAGGCTCTCCAGCCGAGCGGTTTTTGTCGTAGTCGCCAGTCCTCCTTGGGGTCGTTTCAGTCCAAACCTTGTCCTGCGAGCCCCCCTGCCGGGCTGGGCCTGGCTCCCGGGGCGCGGGGGTGTGTGTGCGTGGTCACGGTTAGCCTTGGGCTGCGTGGGCAGAGCCCTGGCCTGGATCCTCGCCCTCCAGGGCCTCGCGTGACGTGGGGCGGCCCCCGGTCCGCGCTTGAAGTCGTTGACGTAGCGGAGGAGAATGGAAACCGCTTGCAGGGCCAGGCCCGCCTCCCTTTTCTTTCCTTAATTAATCAATTAATCTGTTGAGCCGGGGCGGGGCCTTAGGGTAGACCAGGAGTGGAAAAGCGGATTAATCCGCGCCTGCGGCGTCTACATAAGCCCCCGGGCCGGACACCTGGTTTCCGGTGGCCCCCTCCTCCTTTGTTCAGGGATTAAGGTTAGGCAGGGACGGAGGCGCCAGCGTGCGGTCCCTAGCTCCTTTTGTCCCCGTCCCCGGAGCCTCGCACACAGTAGGCGCTCAATTAATGCTGGTCGGATTTCATTAGTGCAGCGTTTGCTAGGCCGGGGCGGGAGGACGGTCCATGCCCCTGGAGGGGCAGCCCCGGGGCATCGTGGCGGGGGTCGCAACCTCCGAAGCGAAGCCAGCCGAGGCTTGGCCGTGCCCTTAGGAGAGGGCCCGAAGAGGCGCCAGAGCTGTGCACACCATGTTCCCTCTCCTTAAGCCAGTTCCCTGACGGCCCGTGCCCATAACCTGCTTGGGAGCGTGGGCTGCTGCACAAGCCTTTCCCATGAAAATGCCCAGTGTGCCCCATTTTGAGGAGCTACAGCGAGAGAATGAGGGGAAAAGATTTTATTGTTATTATTATTGGCCCCTTGGGGAGATACAGATGGAGGGGAGGGTGAAGTAGGCGGTGACGGGGAGCCCCGGGAGGTTCTTGAGCCGACTTGCCTGATGAATGGCTTAGGAGAGGAGCAGCGGCAGCCGAGGCTAAGTGGAGGGGCCCTGGGAGACCTTGGTTCTGGATCGGTTCATCTTATGCCCTTACTCAGAGCCACATGGGGAACAGAAACTCCTCACACAGAAATAAAGTAAGAACGGCCCCAATCGCTCTTTTGAGCTGAATCATGCTGGTCCCATTAATAGGCCAGGGAGATGAATGGGATGCCTGGCAGCCTCCCTGCTCCACATGACCCAGAGGTTTAGGTGAATTCTGAGAAGTAATCCTCTCAGTAGTGAAGCTGACCAAAGACATGGATTGCGCGTCATAATCTCTGCCTGTGCCATGATAGTTCGCTATAAAACACCAGCCACCTTAGTTACGGTTTAGCGGCAATTTCTGTATGCTTAGTACCGGTCTGGGGGTTTGGAAGCAGGTTAAACAAAGAATAGATACATTTCTTGGTCTCATACTTTACTAGCTGACACATTGCTGCTGATACACAAAAGAGAACAGCAACAAAGGGTTATTACAAAAAGGATATATTGTTTTGGGTTTTCAAACAAAAAAGATAGTCACCTCCATGCAAATGCATTTACTTAATCGATATAGAATGGATTTTTGAGGGTTATTTCACTTGCAGTAAGTTTTAGAGCTGGATAATGCCAAAAAGAAATGATATAATGGGGTGGACTGGGTTTGGAAAATTATGTGAAAAGATAGGGAAAGTGGAAAAAGGAAGAGACGTGACTAAAGTAAAATCACAGAAAGCGTGTCCTGATTGTCTGGGTTATAGGATACCATAAACTGAAGAGTTTGACGATGAGAGTAAATGACTATCTTTTATTAAGGAAAAAAAAAGATTGCTAACCTCATTAGGACTGTGCTGGTTGTGTCTGATAGGCCACCCCGGGTAAGTTATGATCATGTTATTTAACATTTAATGGGTGCTGACGCATGCTAAATGATGAAAAGAACAGAAGATAAGATCACTGGCTGGAGGCTCCCATTCTCTACTAGAAAACAGCCAGGACACAAAGTATCAGGCTGTTCTTAATTCGGGAGGCAGAGATGGTGTAGCTAACGAAGATAGGCTGTCACCAGGTCCTATCAGACTGGTGGTCCCAGAAAGCCTTTCTGAAAGGAATGAGAAGAGGCATTTTTTTCCTCCAAGGTGGAGAAATGGTTGATTTAGCAGGTGAACAGAGAAAGATGATTTTAGATATGGAAATATCGTGTGGAAGAATAATATGTGAATTGAGAGTAAAGGAAATAAATGAAGGAAAAATAAGATGAACCAAAGTAAAGGAGAGGAAGGCAAATGAGAAGCAGAAAGAAAAGGTTACTAATTAATATTTATGTTTTAATAATTAACTATGTTATAAGACAAAGACATGTCAAAGTATACTCATTCTCTTAAATTGGATTAAACATGCATATGGCCTTTGGAGAAGGATCTTGTCAAGCCCCCCTTGACCTACTGTACCTGAACTACCAATCTCTAACCCTAGATAAGACCCAACATCTTTTTCCACTCCCCATCCCTGGTAGCTGGAAAAGCCCTATGATTGTGCTGATTGCTTTCAATACAAATTCATGCTATCTGACCAGCTGGGTCCTCCCTATTGCTCAGCAATCCTTTTATTCGTCTCTAGTTGACTCCCTTTTCCCTGCTATAAGAATATCTTTATGGAGAAAGGCCTAGTTTAAATAGTAATAAAATAGGAATTTGCTTTCCCTTTTCCCAAGCTGTTTATTTCCTCTCCGCCCAAACCTGTAATACACAGAGAGATTTTCTTTCTCCTTGGGAGACAAAAATAATACTAAGGGAGAATGAAAGAGGAACAGGCCTTACCGAATTGGTCATTGCTCCTAGTCAGGGCAAGACATCCACCAATCATTTGGCCAGTTTGAATATCTCCAATCCTCACCTCAGATTTTGATTTGAGAACTTTCACCTGTCAAACCTATATACTGTTTTTAGATTGACCAGATGTAATTTGGTGTATGAAACCAGAAACTGGACTCAAAACACTAATGGATCTGTGATCCTGTGGTCTTCTTGAGAGAGGAATTAATTCCCTCTGATGATGTCAATTGTAACTCATCCAGGCCTGCCTGCCTTTGGACCCCTGGTCCTTACCCTTCTATAAGGTGGCCACAGCAAATCTATCGAACGTGCTGTGAGTCTTGCTTGCATTCCTTTGTACATGTTTTTCATCAGTTGTTGGCACAGTACGTCAGAGATGATTCCATAATAAAATCTTGGTATCCTTTCCATTGAGGGCAGAATCTAGCCAGGTAAGTCAGCAGGGTTTTCCTTATGTGTGCTATAAACTACAAGAATGTGGCCCTGCAGAGGAGACTGTAAGTAAATATAAAATTATTAGGTAGAGTATATTGTGACACTTTTGCTTTTTCTTTTTATATTCCTGAACTTTATATGAGGCTTCACTGTATATGATCCTGCCAGATAAAACTATATGCATGTTTAAGATAAGAGCCTCTTAGGCACAAGGTGCAAGTGTGCTGGGAGTGATAACCTGTTGGTTAACCATGAGCTGGGTAGGCCTCTCTTTTTCTCGATGGCAGTTGGCTGTCATCCAGATCCTATAGATTCTCAATACCTCAAAACATGCACAGGTCCAGTGACATTCCATGTTCTCCACCTCTCCAGTGGGTCCTAGGGCCTGGATAACAGAACCTTAGGTCTTAGCTCCTTTCCAATGTCAATTATACATTTCATAGAGCAGCATTTCCAACCCTCATAATTTTCCTTAAACTGCTAGTCCTACTACTGCTCTTCAGTCTCGACTGCTGACCTTGTCTCATATTTTATCTTTTTTCGATGAGATTGATAGGCTTTTCATTTATTCCACCTTTGCTTTGATCCTACTAATTTCCTTCCTTTTTACTGACAAATTCCTCCAAAAAGTAGGTAGCTAGGTGGTGCAGTGGATAAAGTGCTGGACCTAAGAGTCAAGAAGACTGGAGTTCAGCTCCTGCTTGAGCTGTGTGATCCTGGGTGAGTTGCTCTGCCTCAATTTACTCATCTGTAAAATGGGGATATAGGGATACCTACCTCCCAGGATTTTAATGAGGATCAAATGAGGTGACATATGCAAAGTGCTTTGCAAACTTTAAGGCATTATATAAATGCTATTATTATTATTACCACTTGTTATCTGATTGCTGCCCCCCCAACTCTAAAGTACAACTGCGCTTTCAAAGGTTACTAATCACCAAATTAAGTCCTTTTCTTAGTGCTAGTATTCCTTGACCCCTGTTCTGCAGCTGATACCTTTGGACCTTGAAATCCTCTCCTCCTGTTATTGTTGTGACAATTAGAATAATAAGTTGAGCAGGATGACCAGGGACCTGTATCTGGGAAATGTGCTTTTTACCTGTGGGGGTTTAGTGACTACCATCCCCCCAGCCTTTGCTATATGAGTCCTTCCCCATCCTTGTGGACATATAGCCATGCAGTACTCTGGGTGGCTGGCCACTCCACTCTCCTCTCTGAACATCACTTTGCTGTTAGACTGCCTCACTATGCCTTTCCGCCAACAATCCTTTTTGCCCCAGGTGAAAGAATTCCTCATCATGATTCTGTTGAAAACTAATTTGTGATTCTCTTCTTGCTACT